TAAAATAAGAATAGGTACATTAAATGATATATTAAAATGTGATAATTAATTATTAATTAAATAAATTTTTTTATTTAATATATGTTACAATTATTTTTTAAAAATAAAAGTAAAATAAGAATAGGTACATTAAATGATATATTAAAATGAAAAAATTGATTGTTAAACTTAAGCGACCCAAATTAGAAACTAAATTTATTAAAGTTGAATAGATAGAGTAGTTTTTTTTAAACAATTAATTATAATATCTAAAAATATTAATTTATTAAATTAATTTCAATTTATTAAATAATAAATGTAAATTATTTTATTAATTCGAATAGAGATTCATTTACATATAAGTTTTTTATATTATATTTACACAAAATCTCAATTATATATCTTTTCTTTTTTAATAGTTGAGATTTATTTACATTTATTAAAAATAATTATTTTTTATTTAAAAAATTTGTTAAATCTCAATTATAAAGTGAAAAGATAAATGTGGTTAAAATTTTATATAAATTTACTTTGTAAGATTTGCATATAAATAAATTTTTTCTTTATTAATTACTACCTCTATTTATTTTTAATAAATTTAGTTTGATTTTTTAATTTTTAGGATATAAATTTTAAATGAAAATTTAATAATTTATATGAATTATAACTAAAATTTTTTGTCCCTATATATAATTTTTATTTGAAATTTATGTATTAAAAGTTAAAAAATTATATTAAATTTAATAAAAATAAACAAAAAATAATTATTAACTATTTTTTATTAACAATTATTATTAATAAATTTTAATAATCAAATTAAATAAAATGTGAAATAATATGTGACCTTAAGCTACTTGCAAAACCGACAACTGCCAGGTCCAATCGGCTGGCCTACTAGTTCAGGTCAAGTATAGCACCCAGTAAATGTAAAACTCTAATATCAATGTACATTCTTCCTTTACCTTTCATCACCCCCCACATCTTTCTACTTTCTGCTACAATCATTCCCAAACCAGCTGCCACGTCCACATCATATCATCACCGTCAAATTCCCCCACTCAGAGTGATCAAACGCGCACCGTCCGTCCGTCCCCACCAACTTAACTCGGTCCTCCGGATCTGACAACCACCGACACCCTGGGCTCCCCGCCATCATGCGTCGGACCGCGTCCATAGCGTCACGTGCCAAACCGCGTCCTCGTAGTTATCTTATGCAACCTAATCTACGATTAACCTTCCATCCTCACGCTTTAACAATTGTACATTACGAGTCAAAGTCAAATTGTACAAGCATGGTAACCAGGCTTACCAAATCAAAGCGAGAAACGTTTTGCAGAGGATAACTTTCCGTCACCTCCAGGCTCCTACTTTTTTAGGATTATTTTATTTTGTTTTTAAATCTATTTCTTCGTTCGCTGGGTTGCAGCATAGGGTCTTTCTCTGCAGAGGGCGCGTTGGCCAATCTGCATACTAATTCTCTTCTTTCTCTCTGAAATCACTGTAGTTTCCGGCCACAATGGAGCTATTCTATGTCGTGGTGTTCGGCGGGCTTGCCGCGGTGGTTGCAACTCTCGAGCTGAGCAAGACCAGCAAGGATCGAATCAACACTTCTCCCGCTTTCAATTCCTTCAAGAACAATTACCTCGTTGTTTACTCTCTCATGATGGGTACTGATTCAAATCCAGATCTGATTTTCATTTTCCTAGCACAGATCTCACGCAAACTCTAGTTCTGATGTCGTTGATGCATATGTTGATTTGTGTGTTTCTGTTTGGATCTGATCTCATTTCTGTATGTCTTTAGCAAATCTAGTTGCATTTGCCCCGTGATTTCGTTTTAATTGTGATTGCAGTGTGTTGTTTTGACGATTGGATGACATTGTGACGGCGGTTTACATTTGCTTCATTTTTTTCCTTAAAAAAGGAGAAAATGACTTCCTACGCTTCGTGGATTTGTATCATTTATTTATGTGTTTGAGATGTTGGATCTCTGTGTGGCGTGGGGCGAGATCTCGCCTGAAGTGCGCGCTTAACTTTATGGCAGTGCCAGAGTGGTAGGAGAGTGAATGAAGAGGAATGGTCAATTTCAAAGTCTTCTTGAGTACTCATCTTAGTTGTGATCTCTAGATGTGAGTAAAATCTAACATTCTTTATGTTCGTCTTCGGCTCAGCTTCCTACTGTCTCAGGCCGCTTTTGCTCCTTCGCAGAAGGGATTCCAATCTCCTTAAGTTGTAGAATGGAAAACATCGTCCAAAATGACTAGAACCTTCTTCTTTGTAAGAAATGCATGAAGAAAGCGCAGTTATTTGGATCTAGAGCTTAGTGGAATTGCACCTATTGGAGCTGCTGAAAGATAACGGCAAGGCTGTACCCGAAAAAGAAGATGGTCTTGTCATTTTGGACAATGTTTTGACCGGTCTACGTTGCAGGAGGTTGGAACCTTCTGCAAATGGGCAAAGCACCCGCACAGAAAAGAATATAGAGGAAAGTTAACTTGGAGACTAACATATTGAATGCAAGATTTTGCTAACCTCTAGAGCTTATGATGTTCTGTTTAGTGAGATAGTGACTCAAAAAATTTTTTTTCTTGGCCAATTAAAAGATAAAGAAGCACTGGAGCTTTTGGGAAGATAGTACTGTGGGATTCAACCAAATCTTAATTGTGTCTGTCACCACAAGTGTGACCAAATCTACCTTTTAGCTATTTCTACAAATTTTCTGGAGTATTACTTAGAATCGTGTAACATACAGATGCATCTTAAGCAGATCCCTGCTGGTTGTTTGAAATCCAAACTTAAAAAATGAAAAATAAATGTTGAATTTTTTTTTTTTTTTTTTTCTGTTTTAAACAATCGTCTTCTCTCACTAATTAAGTTGTGAGATATGGTCATGCCTGTATCTGTATATACTTGGGCTGGTATTAGTAAAACACAATTTTTTCTTTATTATTTTCCTTTTTATCATTTAATTTTTTTGTGGCACGTTGTAATTCTGACTGACATTTTATGTTGGAATAGCTGGAGATTGGCTGCAGGGTCCTTATGTTTACTATCTTTATAGCACCTATGGCTTTGGAAAGGGGGAGATAGGACAGCTTTTTATTGCCGGTTTTGGATCCTCCATGTTGTTTGGGACAATTGTTGGATCTCTAGCTGACAAACAGTGAGATTTTATTTTGGATTTTGCTGTGATTCTATCATGTGTTATGGCTAGAAAATTTTCCTAGTAACACCATCATACATATAATTCAGGGGCCGGAAGAGAGCATGTGTTACTTACTGCATTACATACATACTTAGCTGTATCACAAAGCATTCTCCTCAGTACAAGGTGTTAATGATAGGCCGTGTGTTGGGAGGTATCGCCACTTCTCTCCTATTTTCCGCATTTGAGTCGTGGCTTGTTGCTGAACACAATAAGGTGAGATGTTGCTTTTGTGCCCTAGTTCTTATTCATAAATTGTTGTTAATGTGTATAAATTATGTTGCATCTTAATAGCTATTTCTTTTGTTTCCCCTTCTTTTCTCTGCAGAGGGGCTTCGACCAACAATGGTTATCACTAACATTTTCAAAAGCAATATTTCTTGGGAATGGTCTTGTTGCCATTTTAGCTGGATTGTTTGGAAATCTACTTGTGGATACACTTTCTCTTGGACCTGTTGCCCCTTTTGATGCTGCTTCATGCTTTCTAGCTATTGGGATGGCTATTATCTTATCATCATGGAGTGAGAATTATGGAGACCCTTCAGAAAGCAAGGACCTTCTGACCCAATTCAGGGGTGCTGCTGTAGCTATAGCATCTGGTACATTTTCAATACTTTAAACTCACTGCATTAATTCAGGGGTGGCATTTTACGGGCAAAGTTTGTTTCTTGGTGCTTTAATTTTTGGTTTTTTTATCCACAATCACTGAATTGATTCCTTAACTTAGGTTTCTCTTTGTCCACATACCTTATCTGATGATTCTGATCTTTCATGTGTTTCAGATGAAAAAATTGCTTTGCTAGGTGCCATCCAGTCTCTGTTTGAGGGTTCAATGTATACCTTTGTGTTCCTCTGGACTCCTGCCTTGAGTCCTAATGATGAAGAGATTCCTCATGGTTTCATTTTTGCCACGTTCATGTTGGCTTCTATGTTGGGAAGTTCACTAGCATCTCGGCTGATGGCCCGTACATCACCCAGGGTAGAGAGCTACATGCAGATTGTTTTTGTGATCTCTTCTGCATCTCTTCTGCTCCCAATCATAACCACTGTATGCTCTGACTTCACTTTATTGTGCCTCTCCTATTTATATTTATTATTTTCTTAGTGATCTCTAACTTGATTAATCCACCACAGTTCTTGGTAGCACCTTCCAAGGTGAGAGGTGGAAGCATCTCCTTGGCAGGTTGCATCCAAGTTCTTGGCTTCTGCACTTTTGAGGCTTGTGTAGGAATATTCTGGCCATCCATTATGAAGATGAGGTCCCAGTACATTCCTGAGGAGGCTAGAAGCACCATTATGAACTTTTTCCGCATTCCTCTTAACATCTTTGTGTGCATTGTGCTGTACAATGTATGTCCTAGGCTTGACTCTAATATCTTGATCTTTATGGGTTTAATCAGTTCACCGTAGGGCACTAAATTCAGTTCCATCTGATCTATATTTTGGCTTGTTTGGTATCCTGCTTAAAAGAGAAAAAAAAGTTACCACTGCATTTTGAAAAGAGAGAACAGGAGTGTCTGCCATACTGCTTTAAAGTTTTGAGTGTTAGAATATTCCAGTCTTATCCCCCTGTTAGTAACTAGTTGTTTTGGGTTTTGTTTTGAAGGTTGATGCTTTCCCTATCACTGTCATGTTTGGCATGTGCTCAATTTTCCTTTTTGTGGCATCTATCTTGCAAAGGCGGCTAATGGTGATCTCAGACAAGCCAAGTACGTATAAACGTTCAGACTGTTGTTCTTTTCATGAAACAGCATAGTTAAAACTGCTTAGAACTAGGTTAATTAATTTTATATTGTCTGTCGCTGTGATTTTCTGGACGGAAGCCTGTTCTAACTTGTATTGATGGTTAACAATCTTTTTGTTTATTACAGAGGCCGAATCTTGGATATCTGTGAAAGAAAGGGACACTGAGGCAGAGGCTCTAAACATCTGAGTGATGTTGAGCCGGCTGATTCCCAATGATGTCTCCCCAGGTTGAAAAAAAAAATAAATAAATAAAAAAAACCTTATTCATTCAATATACTCTTGCTGTTCCTGTTTGATCAAAGTTGTATTTGATTCTATTGTAGAGTTTTTAATGTATAAGAAACTACAAGTCTACGTCTATCCAGCAAAAAGGGATTGTGGGTTAAAGGTTACTTGAGTTTAGTGGTATTTGATTCATTCAACACCTTCCATCTTGTAGTAAATTAGATGTCCTCTTTTGTAATTCTCAATTTATTCTTTATTGAACTTGTCCTATGATATGTACTACATTTTTGTTTATCTTATGTAAAATGCCTGGATGCATATGATCTAGTGATTTCACAATTGATTCCATCAGACTCCGAATTAGGCGGTTCCGTAAGCGTTTCTGCCCACAAGCTAAAAGGCAAAGTCTTTTCAATTTGTGTTTTTAATTTGAAATTATATAATA